CAGTTTGTAGAAAAACTTTATTGTGATCAAGAATATGGTTAATGTTCCTTAATCAAGAGTTGAATGTTTTCTTTAGTGACATTAACTCATTCAGCCCATATCACCTATAACAGTGACCATTCTCTGAGCATATGATATAAGTTGCATAGTATTAAATATATAGTGCTGAGAATGTACAGTTTCCTCCTCTTCCTCCCATCCTACACCATTAGTGAATAATGATATGGTCCATATATGGAGATTTATATTACCTCTTTGTCTACTATTTCTGCTGCTTTTGATGCCAAGAATTAGGTTTTAAAAATAGCTACCATCTGGTGTCACAGATAATGTGTGCGCTGCCCCTGCTGGTATGCATATATTATGGTCAGCATCAATTACATCATCAGTAATGCTGCACACGCACATACACACAAGAGGAAACATAAAGGTGAAGTATTGGCTTCTGATTAATGAAGAACACAGAAGGGAGGGAAAAATCAATGTTTGTCAAATGCAAGGGGGGTGGGGATCAATGTCTGGCAAATGCAGGGGAAAATCAGCATGGGCTGAAGCAGATGAGACCAGAATGCAAACAGGAGAGCACAAAATGAGAATGAAAAGCCATTCTAAGGAATGATGCATCTGAAGAAATGGGTTTTTTTTTACCCACAAAAGCTTATGCCCAAATAAATCTGTTAGTCTTTAAGGTGCCACCGGACTCCTTGTTATTATAAGGAAGTGGTCCCTTTGAATGAGAAGAAAAGGGAATCTTAGCTGTGTTGTGCAGAATGACTGAGATATGTGGTTGGGACGTTTGTGCTAACAGCAGAATGTGCAACGAATACTTAAGTGGAAATAACAATGTAATATGGAAAATGCAAGTAATGTGTCCGAATATAAACAATACAGGAGTGAGAAATCTGCATAGATGAGTTTTTATGCTTTTTCCATGAGGAATATTTACTAGCTTGTGAAAGTTTGATGTATAACAAAAGTTGAAGCACTGAAGTTTGATTGAATGTATTTTACTGCCTCAGAAAATGACTTGGCCTGAATTCAAGCAGTTAGTTGAATGCATTCAAAGCATAATTAACTCCTGTCTGAGATTTTATTAAAATATAGCCTCATTTTAAATGTGTTGAGCATTTATATGACCAAATTGTCTACTGTTGAGCCAACTTCTCTGAGCGACTTACCTTTTTAATGGTTGTTTGCAGTGTTGTAGCCCTGTTGGTCCCAGGATAGCAGCGAGACATGGTGGGTGAGGTAATATTTTATTGGACCAACTTCTGTTGGTGAAAGGTACAAGCTTTCAAGCTACACAGAGCTATTCTGCAGGACTGGAGAAGGAAATCCGAGTGTAAGCGAAA